TGTGTGTGTGTGTGTGTGTGTGTGTGTGTGTGTGTGTGTGTATATTTTCTTTTTCCATGCTTTTACCAGAATGTCCTCTTTGGTTTCGTATTTAAGAAAATTCTTATATTACAATGCCGACCATGCCTTTCCACTTTGGTTTACTTCTCTTGTAGTTTTCTTTGCTGTTTAAAAGACTCAAATGGCGTCATTCCATGTTCCACTCTTCCAGCTCTGRTATGGCACTGCGCCTCAGTGATGTCTTCCTGTGGTTTCTGCAGTTCCGCATTATTTTGTGCCACTTTTCTTARAATTTCTTRTTTAAAGCCAATGAATTCTCGRTTCACCTCCTCTTTGAATTWGTCCTTGAATTTTTTTGAGGRTCTCCTTTACCACTTTTTTGAGGTCCCAGATTTCTGTCGTGATGTTGTGTAGCCCCTCCAACAAGGCCTGGAACTGCTTGAAGACACTGCTTTCTTCTTCCATCTGCTCAACTTCGGAATCGTGTTCCTCTTGACATAATTTTTCCTTACTCTTCTCTGSTTACGTCCTCCACTCATTTCTTGTCTGGTTCAAATCGTGTTTTAATTAATGAATTTGATTTAGGTAGGGTTTTTGTTTCTTTGATAGGGGTCAATCTTATGCTGTCATCTGGCTCTGCYTCCACTCGGAAGTCTGTCACTAGAAACTTTTAACAATGCTGTTTCTGTGGATGGCAATTTGAAGAATCCAAACTGATAATTAATGCCCCCCCAACCCCACTGTACAGCCCCACCCATCAGCTGGTCCCACCAGACATTTACACAGGCTGCACCCAAACGCTGAGAAGCTGTGACTGACGTCTCTTTCTATGTGTAAATACCGACAGTGGCACAGACATAACCTGCAGCATTCAGATCTAGACCAAATCCYTTTATAAGTAACCAGATCCACGTGGCTCAGTTTGAGTGATGCGCAGGGCTCAGTTTATGGTACGCTCACGGTGGTGTAGTATACCCTGAAAGAACATAGAGCAGTACACTTCATTACTTCAGAAATGTAAAAATGATTACAAACTCTTGATGGAAAAACAAAGCCTGTGTGGAGAACAGTCAATGGAGGTGTGCCATGCAGCTCTGGGTCGGGCTGGTATCACGAGCCTGCCTGACACTTGCAGAGAACGTTTTTGCTCTGATCCCATCCAGGTCTGAACCAATTCAGTTGAAAAATGAAACAAGAATTCTCTATTTGTGCCACATCTGGCCCAAATGCTGTATTTTTATAGCACCTGTGTGACACCTCTTATCCGTTTTGTGATCCAGATCCACGCCGTGAGTATGGGCCTTGGGGAATAAAAACAAAATGGGCCCAGGTCCTTTTACGGGTCTGGCCCAAATGCTCACCTATATTTGGCCCTGAGCAGATAACTTTTGTTGCCAGGGTAGACAAATGTGTGGATAGTTTGTTATTATTTCTGCTATTCAAAAGTAGCTGGTGTTTAGTTTTGCTGAGAAGGCAGGTCACTTTGGAGAAAATGCAGCCAGATGAGGAAATGTGTCAATTTCTTTGTTTTTCCCCTCAAAATAAAGTTTGTTGGTAACTACATTACTTAAACCGTTTGCATTACTCACCACCTCCTGTGTAAAAGAACTAGGTTTACAGCTCAAGTTTCTGACCCGTTGTTCTTAACTGCGCCTTTGTGCCAGAGTATGTGTATTTTGTTTAATTTTTTTACATCTTGAGAGAGAATGAAAGCACTAGTGAACTCATCAATGCAAAAAGACCTGGGTACACACAAGACAACAGTGGTGGATGAGGGCAGAATAATCTCCATGGTGAAGAGAAACCCCTTCATAACAGCCAACCAAGTGAACAACACTGTCCAGGAGGTAAAAGTATAAATATCCAAATCTACCATAAAGAGAAGACTGCATGAACATAAATACAGAGGGTTCACTGCARGCTGCAAGCCACTCATGAGCACCAAGAARAAAAAGGCCAGACTGGACTTTGCTAAAAACATCTAAAAAAGCAGCAGAGTTCTGGAAGAACATTCTTTGGACAGATGAAACCAAGATCAACCAGAATGATGGAAAGAGAAAAGTATGGTGAAGGTGTGGTACAGCTCATGATCCAAAGCACCACATCGTCTGTAAAACACAGCAGAGCAGTGTGATGTTTGGACATGCATGGCTGCCAGTGACACTGGGTCACTAGTGTTTACTGATGATGTGACACAGGACAGAAGCAGCCGGATGAATTCTGAGGTATTCAGAGCCATACTGTGTGCTCTGATCCAGACAAATGCAGCCAAACTGARTGGTTGTRYTTTCATACTACAGATGGACAATGASCCAAAACATAAAGCCAAAGCAACCCAGGAGTTTATTAAAGCAAAGAAGTGGAATATTCTTGAATGGACAAGTCAGTCACCTGATCTCAACACAACTGAGCATTTCACTTGTTAAAGACTAAACTTCAGACAGAAAGGCCCACAAACAAACAGCCACAGTGAAGTCCTGGCAGAGCATTAAAAAGGAGGAAACACAGCGTCTGGTGACGTCCATGAGTTTAAGACTTCAGGCAGTCATTGCCAACGAAGGGTTTTCAACCAAGTACTAGAAATGAACATTTTATTTACAATTATTTAATCTGTCCAATTACTTTTGAGCCTCTGAAATGAAGGGATCGTGTTTAAAAAATGCTTTAGTTCCTCATTTTTATGCAGTCATTTTGTTCAACCCACTGAATTAAAGCTGAAAGTCTGAACTTCAACTGCATCTGAACTGTTTTGTTTAAACTTCATTGTGGTAATGTCTAGAACCAAAATGAGAAAAATGTTGTCTTTGTCCAAATATATATGGACCTAACTGTACACTATGACATGGGTGTACTACATCGTGTGAAATAAATTTTGGTTACATAAATGTCCAGATGACAGTGGCAACAGTAAAACGGCTCAAGTTGGGCTGCYCTCTCTGTCCAGCTACTCACTCAGCCCATGGTTGATGACATGATCAACTAAGGTTGCTCTGATTTCATTTGAAGGTTCAAGTTCAAGTTTATTTATATAGCGCCAAGTCACAACATATGTTGTCTCAGGGCACTGAACATAGAAAGAACAATCTAAAGAAGAAGCCAGCAGACTGCGTTGAATCACTTCATCACAGTCTCCCATCCTGAGCAAACGGTGGAGAGGAAAAACTCCCTGCTAATCAGGAAGAAACCTCCAGCAGAACCAGGCTCAGGACAGGCGGCCATCTGCCTCGACCGGCTGGTTGGAGGACAGGAAAGAGACACAGAGAAACACAGAAGAACTGGTCCAGGACTGGTCCAGGTGCACCTACTTCTGGAAGAGACAAAGAAAAACATGAGAAAAATAATTACAATAAACATGTAGAGAAGAGAGATTAAAGACAACAGCAGAGTGAGGAAATGTGCTCAGTTTGTGCTCCAGCAGTCTAAGTCTATAGCAGCAGAAATGAAGAATAATTCAGGAAACCTAAGTCTAACTATAGTATTTATCAAAAAGGAGGTTGTTGTTTTCTTTATCCATGAACTCCTCTACCAGCTCTAACCCTACCTCTACCTCTTCCTCCCCATCTTATTCTCCCCCTCCCTTTTCATCTCTCTGCAATACCTTCCATTGTTGTAAGGGATTTTTTTTATAGTGCTCCTGATTGGAGTGTTATAAAATAATTGTGCTATGGATGTCATTTTAGTGTGTTAGCAATTGTAAAAAACTAATATTATGCTCACAAGCTGCTACAGATAAACAGAAAAACATATCTACACCTCTCTGCAAAAAATACAGATGTAATACAGACCGCTACAGAAGATTGTTCCTCCCCACAGCCATCACCTTCTACAATAACTCTTTAGTTAAATGAGTTACCACAACATCTAATTTCCATTTGTGAGCAATAAAGTCTTTTTGAATTTAAATTGAATTTGAATTATTACCAATTAGCTGTTCTTGACTTTTCTCTCTCCCCAGTTTCAAGTRTCAAGATGAAGATTGATACCAGCCTGACTATTCCCCAGCCTCCAGAGGCCCTGTCACAGGCTGGCCTTCAGTTTGATGAAGCAACTGAGGAGGACTTCGATGAAATTATGGCAATGAGTCAGGACATCTATGGAGGCCTGGACTACCTTCCAACCAGATACACTAGCTGGCTTCAAGAGACTAACCGCACAGTTATAGTGGCCCGCAAAGAGGGGAAAGTGGTAAGACATGGCATGTGTGCATTGAGATTAATAGATTATCAGGTAYTAAATTTTATAAATATATATAATAAAATAAATATATCTTGTTACTATTTTCTTCAGTTTTWCTCAGCAATGCAAGTAACAGCAAAAATAGAAATTTTACATGATTTGCCTAATTATCTTGTTAATAATTTACAACTTCAGTGTATACATCACTTGATAAAATTTCTCCACTGAAAAAGAAAGCAATCAATCAGAAAAAGCTGGCACCTTTAATTCATAGCAGCATTTTCAAAACAGAAAATCTYGACTTTTTAACTTGATGCGATAGCCTGCTAACATATAACAAAGCCCTTCATGAATTTATTTATAGCTGTATATTGTATCTTTAATACAAGAGAAGAACAACCCCAGCTTTATTTTAGTACTGTAGCTAGACTAATGTAAAGTCCTCTCTGTTGAACCATATAAATATGTTTTGTCCTGTTCAGTTCARTGAATTATTAAAAGCAGAGATGGGGACTCGTGACTCGGACGCAGACTTGAGTAGCACTTAAGTCCCTACTATTAGAGACTTAGACTTGACTTGGACTCATGGTTTGAGACTCGCGAACAATGCAAGTCTTTTCACTGCCCGGCTCAAGATGCTCACTCCCTCAATACACATACATGGTCCACTCCGCTTCCCCTCGCCTGAGAACAGGAGGGGCCAGCACCGTCTAATGTTAATGATGCGTACCCTATTTGACACACAGAGCTTCAGCATGGCAGTCACGTTGCAGGAGGCAGCTCTGCTGCCATTCATTATAAGCTTTGCTTACAGAGATTTTATTCAACGCCATGACAAGTGACTGGCAAAATGCAAAGTGTGGGGAGTCC